TAATAGCTCCTATCAAAATACACATAAATCACGATGAATGAGTCAATAGAATATTAAAATAAAAAACGTGGTGGCTTTTAATAATAATGGAAGACTTTGATATATAAAAAAAATAAAAAAAATTTTAATAAATAACATTTTCTTACTGATGAAATGCACAAAAATGTCGTATCATTTCTAAAAATATGCTCAAATTATTCATAATCATATGTTTGATCACGTTCACTGTTAGCACACATTGAATAATATCTGGTAAATATCGTTAAAAAATAGATAGAAAAAAAAAGAAATATATCTAGCAAACAAAAAAAATCGATTTACTAAAAATGCATAAAATTGAAATTCGTATTTACTTAAAAGTCATGGTATAGTGGGCGTTTTACGTAGACATTTAGCTAAAAATGAAATATTAACTTTCTTTAGTTTTTATTAAATTGATTATCTTTGCTAATTTTTCCTAGAATAACAATTTTTCAATTAGAATAATGGAAAGTCTCATAGTAAAAAATTCGTCTAAAAATAGATATCAAGAATTCATTTCAAACAATTTCAGTAACAGATATCATAACCATTTCGTCTACTTAAAAAACGAAAAATTTATTAGAATCAACGTTATTAGGAAAAAACGTTTTCGAAAATCAAGTCTTTAGTGTAATCTGTTTTTCAGCCTTTTCCAGCATTTATTTGTGCTCAAACTATTTACACACATATTCTGCTACTTATGATACAGCTGCAAAATTAATGTAAAACTTTCTCGGTTTCACATTCGATTTTCTCAAAATCCAAGATTTTTCAAGTAAAATCTATATTTCTTTGCCAAAAAAACAGGTTTTTTCAACAAATAACATGTCTAGTATCAGCGCTAAAAACTCCATCGAATGATAGTAGTCTCAAACATTTTATGAGACATTTTTTCTCAACCAATAGATTTCACATCGTGCATTTTTTTATCAGAATAAGATTTTCTGTTGTCAGAATACTATTTTCAATGACAGATGGTCATTTTAAGTCAAAAAAGTCATTTCCGATGATAAAAAAACATAACGTTAAAAACTTCAGAATGTCCACTGTGCATGGGGTTGTAAGTCATCGGTGCCGGTGATTCAAATATGACAATGGAAGCGTCTCTTATGTCTATGAAGATCGATTTCTGGAAAATTGAGCCTTCAAAATAAAATGTTTTTTTTTGTCAAAATCAATTTTTAATCTTGTCAGTTTGTAGAGCACATTGATTTATCTATGTATGTAAATTTTTTCGATTATCGATCATGGTTTAGCGTTTATCAGAGTTTCTGATGAATGATCAAAGTAAATAGGTCTTACAAGAATCATCAGTGAAATGGCAGATAAAAAGTTCATTTTAGATGTGAAAATGAATTTAAATACGGTAGAGAAGGCTGGTTCAATTTGAAATACAAGTAATTTAAACAAGCTAGAGATTCCATTTTTGTTCAGTATTTTTTTATTCATTCGCACGGATTCTTATTCATTTAAGTTTCATAGAACTTTTTCCAAAAATCTAAAACTTCATGCTTTTTTTTAGACAACGATAGGACACTTAATAAAACAAATTTTATTTCTCAGCCAGCAAAAGATTAGAAATTTCGACGAAAAAGTCATTACCACATTTTTATATGGAAATTCGAGTGAGACATATCTCATTCATAATAATGTTTGAACTGATAATAGCATATCTCACTTCATCCATGAAACATCTTTTTAACATTTTTTAATGTATACATCTCTTTGATAGATAGAAAGTGATTGAGTAATAGATTATCTACATGTTGTGTGGTTAGTATCATTCAATTTGGTTAGTGGCGTTGTTGCATTTGTTGATAATGATGAGTTTGATTTGTAACATAAAAAAAAATCACAAAATTCTTCACGAAATCGACGATTTGTCAATATATAAAGAAAAAATGTTGACATAAAATAACATTGTTGAAGTAAATCTAGAATTTTTTGAATTTCTGCTGCTTTGCATAATGCCTTATATTCATAGTCGATATTTTTGCCCAATAAACGATGTAAATTGCCCATATAGACATTATAAACATTGTGTGGAGTTGTAAATAGAATAAAAACAACATTTAAGGATATTAACAATATACTCAAATGTAATTCGAGTCGTCGGCGAGAATTTTTTAAATGATTATTTATATAAGATAGTGAATATTTTGTTGATACATGTTTCAGAATAATAATTGTAGCTAAAACACTAATTGTAAATGGAATTATACCAAAAAGAATACATTCTATTATGGGTAATACTGATGTTAAATATTGAACATAATAAGATGTCTGATTTGTAATGTCAACTGCGCACATTGTTGCTATATGATCATCCGTATTATTATTATTATTATTATTTGTTTGACTTTTATAACCGTAAGATGTTAACCAATGCAAATTAATAATAATAAGAATAATAGCTATTGAAAATTGAATGAAACATACTCGAACAAATGCTGCTGAACTACCTGTACTACGTGAACGACGATGGTTCGTTGTTTGTGGTACAGATTTCGATGTGACAGCTCGTATACGTTCAATATCCACGGCCGTTAAAGTATAAAGAGAAAAATGTGTAAGAAAATCGATTGAAAATCGATTGAAAAATCGACAATAGATAAGTGGAAGATTTTCTAATGTTAAATTAAAATAAACACCTAATATTGAAAAAACAGCATGTATCAATGATAATAGAGCATTAGATAACGATAAATAGGCAAGATAAGAAAATGTTGGACGTCGACGTAAACGTGGTTGAATTAAAACAATGAATGCTATTATATTGGCCATAAAACCAAATATTAATAGAAAAGCTGATTGAATTTTTAAAATAATTAACAATAGATAGGCATCGCATGTTTTGTAATCAATCATTATTATATAACTAAAATAGAAGAAAAAATGTAAACTGTTGTGATTCATTTATTCTTCTCTATATGCAAAAAATGTATCGCATAAAAAAATAAATAGTTTTCTAATTATAGACTGAAAATTAGTTTAAAATCTGATAATTAAGGTCGCCGTAATTCTTTTAAAAGGTAAAACAGTAAATA